TCGTGCTTCATAATAAAGATGATCATTCAGAGCTGGAAATCTGTTCTTAGGAACTGAAGTAGAAATGTGATGTAATGTTCCTGGTAAAATATCAATTCGAGGACCTTATAATTATTAGAATTAAGGAAAGGTTAGTGTTGGGTAGTTCAGAGAAAACAGGACTTGAATTTTAAAGACCTCTAATATAAGGCTGAATATGTTAAGTTGTGTTAATAGAATCTGGGCAACACAAAGAAAGGAGAGATTAGTATCAGTTTTGGTTGAATAGGGGAAAATTTGTGATATGCAAAGAATCACAGAAGGGTGACATAAAAATGGAAGATGTTATAAAGGTGCTCAGAATAACAGTTTTCATTTGTGATTTCAAAAGTATAAAGGTCTGCTGCTTTTAAAAATAGAGAAATCCTTCATTTGCTTTCTATACCAAAAAAAAAAGTTTTCCTCACCTCCAGTAACTATCTTTCTCAAACTGTTACATGACTTCCATGCTGGGGAAGCCCCTCGCAGTTAAACACGTCCTGGATCCACCTTGCATGGGATCCAGCCCTCTCCCCCAGGTTCCCTTGTCCACACTGCCCTGAGAGCCTCAATGGAGCCCAGTGCAGATTGCAGAGGTGGAAAGCCTTCGCCTACTGATTTCCAGACTGATGTTAACAGTAAGCCCTAACTTGTCCCTTCTAGCCATGCTGAGCCCTCGCCTCTAGCTACGGAGCAGCACTGCTGTTATTTTAAACTATATGGCTGCTGCACCTGCTTGCTTCATAGATAGGGGGCCAGCAGGGTCCCACCCGGGAGAAACAGAAAAGCAGTGGGATTGTGGGCAGCGTATTTAGATCAACTGTATGTTATAGCAGACTTCTCTGCAAAGCGCTTGAAACGTCCCTGGAATAATTTCCACAGAAGCAAAACTCATTACGTATTGGAAACAGCAACAAAATATGCCAGATCTGCATATGCAGTCAGGTAATGGATTCAAAATCATTCGTGGGCACGTTATATATATTTTATGTATATCAGAAATAGGGTTGCCAGATTTAGCAAACAGAAATATAGGACATGCAGCTAAATTTGAATTTCGGATAAACAAATAATTTTTTAATGTAGGTATGTTCCATATGTTAAAAGATCAACTGAGACATATTAAAAATGTTAAGGGTTTATTTAAGCAAAACTCAGTTGGAATTGGGCAGCATGGAACTGGACGTAGTTAGGAAGGCTCCACTGACAGGAACTAAGGGCAGGACTTCTATAAAATACAGAAATAAAAGACAAAAAGGAAAAAGGAAAGAGGAAAAAG